TGTTTAAAAATGCTCAAACCAGCTGGATTTGTGAGGCTGTTTAATAACACTTAGATAAATTGATTTCTTATGACTCCTGAAGGCAATTTGTTGCACTTGATTTAATTTCAGGGTAACACGCAGAATTCAACGGTGCTCCACCTTTTTCATATTTTTATTTATGCACCGTTTTGGAACCAGTCAATATTCTTGCAAAGATTTTTGTCCGTTTTTCATTTAAAATCATTATAAGAAAAAAAAAGTATTGTTGTAAAGGAGGAAAAAATGTTTTAGGGGTGGGAAATTGCTTCTTAGGTATTGCAATTGCAGGCAGCCAAGATAATGAGCCAATCAAAGTCCAATATTGCCTTAAGTTAAATATATACAATAAATGGTTTTAATGTTATAATCCCAGATTTTAATCTTTCTTTTTAACACATACTGCAAACATTTTTTTTTAATGAATCATGCTTTAGTTCTTTTTCAGTACTGCTCTGGTTAAGCTCACTCTTTTTTCAAACTCTGCTGCCATCTAGTGACGCTGAATTACAACTGCAACTTAATATTTTAAAAGTATGTCTTTGTGTGTATTTGTTAAGCTCTAACTCACTCAAACAGTGACTGTCAGCAGCACAAGTACTTTTTAGAATGCAATCTGTTAGATGTTTATAATGAATTATTGGAAGAATGTTGACATTCTTTTTTGTTGTTCATTTTATTGTTGTATCTAATAAAATCTCTCATTTTATTTTAAGGTGCAAAAAAGTTTCATTAAGCTCATCATTTCTTTAAGCACACATATTTGTGAATGTGGGCAACATGTTAAAGGTGGCAGGGTTATTTGTCCACGATTTAATCCTGTCTGCATTGTGCATAAAATGAAAATGGAACAGAAATCTGCTCACTTTATTGGCTGTTGTTTTGCTATAAGATCAGACCCTTGATGCAGTCCAATCCCTTATGTTAAAGTTTTCTCTGTGCAAATTGTTTCTTTCTTTCACAGAATTTTTCTTCACAGTTTCTTCTCAAGGAAGAATTTTTGGGTTAAAGGAAAAATAAGTTTGCTCTATCATGATATGCTTCAGAAGCTGTTGGCAGTAATTCATGTCAGTTTTTATCACTTTCTCATGCTTGAGAAGTAACAGCAGAAATGTAACTAATCTAGCAGTTATCATTAGTGTCCATCTGTGTTTCAAGGTGACCTCAAGGCTACTGAGTTTTTTTATTTATTTCTATGTTCTTTGATAATACGGACATTTCAGTTCAACCCGTTACAGAGAGAGACAACATGAAATACAAATTGTGAGCTTTATTTAACTTTAAAGTATCAACACACACAAAATCCTTGGCCAGTCAAGGTAAATGTTAATCTGGATGACACCATTAGCCAAAAATCTGACTAACATTGTTAGAAATGGAAAGTTGTCTGTGAATCAGGGGATTCTGGGAGAAAAACAGCGCAATGACAAATACTGCTGGTTTTCCTTTTGCATGTGATGACCCAGGAATCTTCCAAAATGTATCTCTTGGCCCTTTATTGCAGTAAGATGATCAAAAAATGTATGTTAAATCTTCAAACAGGTTCAGCAGTTCAGCTATAGAATGCTGTTTATTATATGCTTTCAGACTGATATAATGATGATGTTTTATTGTAGTTTGAACCTTGAAGCTATTATGTTCCTAAATAAATGTGCCTCTATAGCAGCTGAGCCCGTTTAGTCTGCATGTTACTATTTCAGTGACATAGATCTTTACACATGCTGTAGTGGCGATTGCTTGCCAAGCCAAACATCCAATTAAAGTATATATGCAGGCCAAGAGAAGGTTCAATGTCCAGTCTTGATGATGGTTCTGGATGGTTTATTTTCTATTTTTGCCAACAATTAAAGAGTACAAACTTTTCTTTTGTCCTACCTCTCTTGCACTGGTAAAAACCGTAGGAGGCCCCAAACCCAAAATGCCTGCTGGTCCTTTCCCAGGTCCCTACACTTATAGAAAGTGGACTGATCAACATCACTTCCTCTCAGAACAATAAATAAAGAATATATAACAATACAAAAAAATATAAATTCAGGAATTAATTACCAAAACTCAAATGGATAAATAAATAAATATCTCCAACACATGCTATTTACTACTTAGAGTAAAACACAATAATACATAATAGTGTATTGAAGTTGAAATGAATGCGTGGATACAGTGATATGGACCAGGTCAATCCTGCTCTATGATGCCATGATGATACCGATAATAACTATGTTTTTCATAAAGAAGTGTATTTTATCTAAGAAGCATTATAACTAATCTAGAAATATAATGAATGACATAGTATGTGTATTTGTTTACTTGTTGAAATCCTCACTTTCCACAAGCTTCGGGTATTAACCAAGAGCAGACAATAAGGACTTTTTCAAGTGAAGCAATACAAGTCATAGAAGTCCAGATATAAAGAAATGGAAAAAACCCCATCAAGTGTTCCTAGAGGCAAAAGAAAGAATTAAGGTAGCAACACTGCCCCCTAGTGTCAGCTTACATTCTGACCTCAAAAGTCGAATATCCCTAAAAGGTTTGATGTATGTTTTCATTGACGAAAGTACACTTATATTGCAAGTATTAATTAAACATTTGATTGTAATTTGATTAATATGTACGGAAGAGGATTAGGGCCACTGGAAAAAAAAAAGCTAACTGATTTTTAAATTTTATTTCAGTTTAGTATGCGAAAAAATACTTTTTTTTCTCAGAATTCTGACTTTTTTCTCAGAATTCTGACTTTTTTCTCAGAATTCTGACTGAGTTCTGACAATAAAAAAAGTCAGAATTCTGAGATTAAAGTCAGAATTCTGAGAAAAAAAGTCTTTTTTCCCATACTAAACTGAAAAATTTTTTTTTAACTTTTTTCTTCTTTTCTTTTTTTATCAGTGGCCCTAATCCTCTTCCGTAAATATGTCTTATAGAAAACAGAAGAAAATCTATTTCTCAGAATATTTCAATTTTACAGAAGATCAATAAAAAAAAGAATATGCTCAATTCTATTCATTAAGTCACAGCAGTAATGATCCTGTGGTTCCACTGAGATGTAATGAATGATGGAGGCCTTCAGGTTGGAGCACTATGCTACGGAAGCGTATTGCTGTCACTTGAAAAAATTAATTTTTGCTCATTATATTGTATAAACGTGATAGTATATTGTATAAACATGATAATTATATTGTACAAACGTGATAGTATATTGTATAAACATGATAATTATATTGTATAAACGTGATAATTATATTGTACAAACGTGATAGTATATTGTATAAACATGATAATTATATTGTACAAACGTGATAGTATATTGTATAAACATGATAATTATATTGTACAAACGTGATAGTATATTGTATAAACATGATAATTATATTGTATAAACGTGATAATTATATTGTACAAACGTGATAGTATATTGTATAAACGTGATAATTATATTGTATAAACGTGATAGTATATTATATAAACGTGATAGTATATTGTATAAACGTGATAATTATATTGTATAAACGTGATAGTATATTATATAAACGTGATAGTATATTGTATAAACGTGATAATTATATTGTATAAACGTGATAGTATATTGTATAAACGTGATAATTATATTGTATAAACGTGATAGTATATTGTATAAACGTGATAATTATATTGTATAAACGTGATAGTATATTGTATAAACGTGATAATTATATTGTATAAACGTGATAGTATATTATATAAACGTGATAGTATATTGTATAAACGTGATAATTATATTGTATAAACGTGATAGTATATTATATAAACGTGATAGTATATTGTATAAACGTGATAATTATATTGTATAAACGTGATAGTATATTGTATAAACATGATAATTATATTGTATAAACGTGATAGTATAGTGTATAAACGTGATAATTATATTGTACAATCGTGATAGTATATTGTATAAACGTGATAATTATATTGTATAAACGTGATAATTATATTGTATAAACGTGATAGTATATTGTATAAACGTGATAATTATATTGTATAAACGTGATAGTATATTGTATAAACGTGATAATTATATTGTATAAACGTGATAGTATATTGTATAAACATGATAATTATATTGTATAAACGTGATAATTATATTGTACAAACGTGATAGTATATTGTATAAACGTGATAATTATATTGTATAAACGTGATAGTATATTGTATAAACGTGATAATTATATTATATAAACGTGATAGTATATTGTATAAACGTGATAATTATATTGTATAAACGTGATAATTATATTGTATAAACGTGATAATTATATTGTATAAACGTGATAATTATATTGTATAAACGTGATAATTATATTGTATAAACGTGATAGTATATTGTATAAACGTGATAATTATATTGTATAAACGTGATAGTATATTGTATAAACGTGATAATTATATTGTATAAACGTGATAATTATATTGTATAAACGTGATAATTATATTGTATAAACGTGATAATTATATTGTATAAACGTGATAGTATATTGTATAAACGTGATAATTATATTATATAAACGTGATCGTATATTGTATAAACGTGATAATTATATTGTATAAACGTGATAAATATATTGTATAAACGTGATAATTATATTGTATAAACGTGATAAATATATTGTATAAACGTGATAATTATATTGTATAAACGTGATAATTATATTGTATAAACGTGATAGTTGAGACTCATTTAGGACGAACAAGCAGAAGTTGGCGCTCCAAATCAATGTTTGATTGAACATCATCATCCTGCGCGTCTTCTCCTCAGCAGCACAATGGCAAGTTTAATGGAGTTGATAAAGTTTTACTTTATGCTCGGTCTAAGACACGGAGAGATATTGATGCTCCTGCAAACAGTGGATGAGATCTGTATTAGTATGAGCACATTGAGAAGAATCCTCCAAAGAATGGGACTCTACAGAAGAAAGCACCGTTCAGATCCTCTAGATGTGGTGGCCTTCCTAATTGACCAGCTGAACAGTTATGGGAGCCAACATGGATATAAGTTTCACCACCTTAAATGTGTTCAACACGGTTATGTTGTGACTCAGAATACAGTGAGACATCTGTTAAAATTTCTTGATCCCAGCGGTGTGGAACGAAGGCGGAGGAGGAGGCTGATGCGACGCGTGTATATTAATTCTGGACCTAATTTCTTGTGGCAAGTTGACTCCTATGATAAACTGAAGCCGTTTGGTATCTGTATTAATGGAGCAATCGATGGATTTTCCAGACAAATTATATGGGTTCATGCTTTCTCCACAAGCAGTGATCCTAAAATTATCGCTGGATATTTTATAAAAGAAGTTGAGACGAGGATGGGGACCCCTGTCCGAATCCGGGCAGATTTTGGAACTGAAAATGTTGCGATGGCAGACATGCAGAGGTTCCTGAGATGGAGTGCTGGTCGCTCCTCCAGTAATTGCTTTATCTCTGGATCCAGCAATCATAATCAGCGGATTGAAAGCTGGTGGGGTTTTTTGAGGACACATCATGCTCAAACGTGGATGGATCGTTTTCAGAAACTGAAAGACGATGATTATTTCTCTGGGGACTTTTTGGACAAACAACTTGTTCTGTTTACCTGTCTGAAGATCATTGAGGTATGTCAGAATATCAAATCTACCATTCTCTTTTTTGTGTGTGAAAAACAGTGTGTGTGTGTGGCCATGTCTTTAATACCTGGTGGGGACAATTTCCTAGGAATATGCTACATTTTGGGGACTCATAGGTACTTGTGGGGACCAACAACTGGTCCCCATAAGGAAAGTTTCTCTTCTTGGGGTGGGGGTTAGGTTTAGGACTAAGGTGTGAATTGAGTTTAGGTTAGGTTTAGGGACAGGTTATGTGTAATGAATGGAAGTCAATGGAAGGTCCCCACAAGGATATTGTGACACAACGTGTGTGTGTGTGTGTGTGTGGGGGGGGGATGCAAGAGAGAGTCACAAAGAAAAACTCGTTAAAAATGAAAAAGATTGTTTCCATTTCTAAATGAAAACACAAATATTTCAATAACCACATACACTGTTACAAGGACTGCAGCAATATGAAAATTTGGACCAATATTGATATCTGATATTGCTTTTAGTTGCCAAAAACCAATATTTCCTAATGTCATGTACGGTACATATTCCCCTAACCTTTTAAAACCTTGAAAAACAACCACAACAGTGATGCTTCACTGCATCATTTACAATATTCTACCCTGCATGATTATCAGCGTTTAACTACCACACAAATGCCAGCTGACCAACCCCCTACCCTCATCCTTTTGATGTTCAAATAGCAAAAACTTTGAAATGAACATAGGTGGAAAAAATTGGTCTAGTTTTACTTACCAGTTAGATAGTAATGCATTAAAAATGAGTAATTTTAGCTGATGAATTTTTACTTAGTTGTGAAAAATGAATTTTTTAATTCCACAATTGTCCTCTACAGGCATTTAAAAATGTTTTAAAAAAAACAATCCACTGGACGTTTTTTCCAAGTTTGAAGATGTTTCGCTTCCCATCCAGGAAGCTTTTTCAATGCAAAATGTCAAAAATAGCGTTGAGTTTGAGGCTTAATAGAGTGAACCAACAAAGCCTTGTTTTGGCTTAGAAAACATGCAACATCGCATGTTTTCTAAGCCAAAACAAGGCTTCTGACATTTTGAATTGAAAAAGCTTCCTAGGTGGATAGCAAAATGTCTTCAAACTTAGAATGAAAGTCCAGTGGATTGATGTTTAACTCTTTTGGAATGACGTATTAGCTGGATAACTGAGAATCCTCACCAGTATAGGCATTGCAGAGGTATTGAAAGTTTTTCTTCTCTCTCAGAGAAAGTGTGCACCCTAAAAACAGTTCCTAAATTGTAAGTATTATTATGAATTTTAACAAACTTTTCTTTTACAGGAGGAGCTGCAACAGGTTTCACACTTATGGAACACTCACACCATCCGTCACAGCAGAAATGCAGTGGCTCCAAGTGGACGTCCAATTCTTATGTACACCATTCCACATCTGTTTCATGGACGCGAACACCTGGTGGAGGTCTCCCGGGAGGCAGTGGAAAGTTGTAAACAGGAATGTCGACAAAGAGGACCTTATCCTTGTGATCAAACTGTGTTCAGCTTGTGTTGCCTTATAATGTCAGAGAACTTCTTACTCTCACCAACCACAGCAGATGAAGCCATAGAACTATACATTTTCCTTAGAACGTACATTCTTAAGGCTCTGTAAGCTGTGTCAAAGGTCCTGTCGCATTAGGGTGAGGCTTCTTCATGCCTCTGACATATAAATGATGCACTGATTTGTTTTGTACATGAACTTTTGGTTTGAAACCACATATATATTAGAACTGAATTAAAATATATAATATTTAAAAATAATAATCATTATGACCTTGAATTGCATTCATGCGCTGAATAACTTGTCATCATATTAAAGTGATTGTCAGAATTCCAAGAATAAATTAAGCAAATTGTTGAGAAAAAATGTTTATTTTTTTAATTTGTCAACAAACAAGTATTTCAGCTTGTAACTGCACGTGTAAATTTATAAAACATTCAACGTATATGCTGAAATATCAATATTATCTCTGTTTTTGAATCCAAAGATAATTTTTCAGTTAGCATTGAAGTTTTTTTTGGAAATACTTATATATCAAACATCCCACAAGAACAATGGTTTGTATAAATTTAACAAAACAAAACATGGATTCAACACAAACCTTCAGCTATAAACTTGAAAAGTAGGAATTTACTGGATACTATTCTGTCTGCTTCTTTCTTTCCATTATATAATTTGTTGGTTACCAAATGGCAGAACTTGATCTAAACAATGCTGAACTCAAAGCAGTTTTGATTCAGTAGTATGCTGTCCATTTCAGCACGCAATTCTGGGTATGAACCATATGTCCATGGCAGTTCCAGAGCTGGTCCACAAGTATGTGCAATAGGTCGCCTTGCCAGACCTTCTACTGATGTGAACATCACTTCAACTTTATTAACACAGATAACATCTGACCCCGTAACAAATCTTAACATTCTTCTGAGGCCTGCATCATCCAGTCCCCTGATGTACTGCTGCAGAAAACGAAAGCTTTGATTTTCAGCTTGAGTTGTTGGAGATGCATCCAGTAACTTCAACAACTTTCTTGTTGTTGGCTTTTTTTCTTCATACATGAGTAAAACTGCTTGTGGGCTGGAAAAAGATTCCTTTAAAATGTGACTAGCAGTTGCAGACATTTGTTCGGCAGCATATCTTGGCTTTTGGATCAAATGCTTGTGTGCTGCACTTACAAGAATTCCTTTCAATGTCTCTTCTGTTGGAAGTGTTGTTACATCTAAACGATCCAAAAGATCAATAAGTTCATCTTGGTCCTCATTCAGACTGTCTGCTTTTAAGGCTGTGGTCACAAGATCCCTGTCTGATTGACTGATGAACAGGAGAAGGCTTTCGAACAGCATTTCATCTGAGACTTCACTCTCACCAAAAATAAGAGCAACTGAAAAAGCAGGGGCAAGGCGACAAGGAAAGTATCCATGATCTTTATATCCCTTAAGCAGGACCCGGCCTATGGATTTCCACTCCTCTTTCTGCCATTTATTAGGCAATGAAGGGACCCTCACTTCCTCCCCTTCTGCGATGCGATCCATGAACTCAGTCCAAAAAGCGGCATAGACGTCTCTTGAGACGCCGTCTGCATCAGCTCCTTTTTCATCTATAAAGCTGAATTTCAGGGTTTGACTTAGGAGTCTTTCGTCCTTAAACTGTGTTATCAACTCCTCAAGGAGATTGCTCCGGTGAAGTTTAACATTGATGCAAATGATTTCATATGATGGTGTACTGGTTGTTGTTTCTCCTGCTAATACTGAAGTAAAGTGTGCTGTGCTTGTGGAAGCATGTTCACTAGATATGATACTAAACTCTTCTCCTTCAAACCTTGTGCTTGGTTGATATATCAAAGTGTCATCAAGTTGACCAACTATGGGCTCTCCATGGACTGGGCCAAAGGTCACCTCAGATGTGTCCGACAGTGCTTCTGTATCAAGTTCAAAATCTGATGATAGAATGACCATGGTTTCACTTACTTGGTCGTCTTTAAGTATATCCATAATTTCCAGATTACTTCCATCAGATTTCTCCCCCCCATGTTCTCCGTCATCTAAACTGATCTGGCTTTTAGTGCACAAGTAAAATCTTAACATCCCTAATCTCAGTACAGAGTAGAGTTCCCCCACAGTGATGTTTTCATCCAACACAGCTTCCTCCTGAAAGTCCAAAATGTCATGACTGAATGACTCAAAACGTCCAAATCTACATTTTCCATTTGGGAAGAAAAGTTCTTTGGAATAATTAATGAGATCTGATTTCTTTGACTCTTTGGGTACATCAAGGGTCCTTGTTCCTCCTCCTCTGCGTTTCCTCACTTGTTTGCCTTCATGAATCCATCCCAATTCGATTTTTCTGGTCTTTTTTTCAGCCCATTTGTTAGAATTGGCATATTGTCTTTTCCTTTTTGGATTAGTTGTCTTAGGTTCATCAAAGTTTGTATCTTCACTGCTATCAAGTCCCATCTTCCTCTTTAGTTTTTCAAGCAGTGAATGTTTTGTGGAATCTTTAGCATTTGTACTTTTCCTTTCCAAACAGAAGCGTCTTGCTGCTATGCGATCCCCATATGTTGGGATGTAACGAGAGAGGGTGCCATCATCCATACATTCGATAACTGTTGTATCAATCTGTGTAGAAAGAAAAATATATTAGATCTTAGAGAGAAACAAGGGAATTTTTGCAATATCCTGTCTCCATCTCCAAGAAAGGTTGTGCACAAAAACAAAATGGCAAATCTTTTTTATCTTTGCACCTTTGCAATATATCAAAAATGAATATAACTTTCCAGATATCCAGAAATCCAATTCTTGAAATTTAAAAATATATTTCTGGTAGTATAAATATCTTTCCAGGTACCAACTGCTTATTTTATGACTAGTTAAATTAGAATTCCATTTATCTTAATTTCAACAATGCCTATCTAAAATGCAGTTTTAGAAACTATGGCAGACCATTTTGACATTTATTAGAAGAGCTGTCCTCTCTATTGTTCCATTTGTTGATCTCTAAAATAAGATTCTTCCAGGTCAAAACTATATTTCCACTAGTCAGAAATGTACATATAGATATCCTACATATTTATATTTCAGGATGCCAAAAATATATTTGTACTAGTAAGAATATACTTTCAAATACCTAGAAATCTTTACAAATTTTAAGTGGCCCTTTTGACATTTAGTAGCTTGACTGAATATGTAATCCAGATATCTGAAATGCATTTCTTCCTAGACAACATGTACATTTTAAGTATCTAAAATAACATTCTAATATCAAATAAACATGTCTGATATCTGAAAAGTAATTCTCACTAGTACAAATGATGTCACGTTTCTCATTCATGTGAAATATAATTACAGATATCAGCTATTGATATATGACTAGTTCAATTTGAATTTCAGATACCCACGTTTCAATAATGCCTATCTAAAAAGCAGTTTTAGATACTTAAAACCAGCATTCAAATAAATAAAAAAAGCGACTCCGTCTTCATATAAAATAGGCAGGCTGACTAGTCATATTTCTATTACACGTTTCTTCCATAAACATTCTATGGTACTAGTATCAACTACATTTTACATATCTACAAACCTTTAGTTGTTTAAAGTGCCCATTTTAACATATACTACTAGTATATGTACTAGTAAGAAATCTAATCTTCTTACTAGTACAAATGACGTCACTTTCCCTCTTTAATGTGTATTGGACCGTTACTTTAGGATATCTGAAATTACATTATTACCGTTCTTCCTACCTAATTTAGAAATGACAGCTTTTATGTAACCGGTTATTGATGCAAATCGTTATTCCTGCTTCATAACACCGTCTGAATTTTTTTCCCCCATGGAGTAAAATAGAGGCAAAAATGAACATAACTTCTGTTTTTAACAGACTTTCTGTTGAAGTTTCTCCTGCATGACGCTCTATGTCGCCACAAATCCCCTGGCTGAGGATGAGTTCATTTCATTTTCTTTCAATTCTGTCAAGTAGACTATCACCGGTGCCATTACTGCTTTCAAATCCCCAGAGAGTAAGCTAAATTTATAAAACCGAATGTCTTGAATTTAGGTTTGAAAGCCTTAAAGATATGCTACTTTTAGTCATTAATTCCTGCTGTCTGAAATAAAAAAATATGAACAGTAACAATCAGATTATAGAGATCAGAAATTCATTTTTAGAAATCCAGAATGTTTATTTTAGATAGGAGTAATGTCATTTCGGATATGTAAAAGTAACGGCCTAATGCACATGAATGGGGAAAAGTGACGTAATTTGTCCTAGTAAGAATTAGATTAGGAGGAATACTACTAAAGATATCTGAAATACAAAGAAATATATCTTAAAATGACCACTGATATTAAGTAAAGATTTGTAGATATCTAAAGTAATTTAAGAATTACATTTAAGGTGACTGAAATGTTTATTTTCCAATCGAAAAATGTTATTTTAGAAATCTAAAATGTTCATTTTGACTAGGAGGAAATGCACTTGAGACACCTGAAATATATATTAAGTCAAGCTATAAATGTCAAAAGGGCCAATCAATTTTTTAAAGATTTCTAGGTATTTAAAGGTTATTCGTACTAGTACCATAATATTATTTGCAGCCTTAAAATTAAAATTTTCATGGCTAACGTAATTAAGGACATCTATATGTAGAGTTCTGACCAGTAGGAATGTAGTTTTAGGTTAGGTTTTAGGAAGAATCATATTTTTTAGATCTACAAATGGAACATTAGAGAAGACAGAAATTCTAATAAATGTCAAAACGGCCTGCAACACACTCTGACTTTATTGAAGAAAACTTCATTAAAGGTTTTACACATGTTAATAATCAAAAACATCATGATTTTAAAGCATATTTTAGCAACAAGTGGCCAGGGACACCTAGTGGCAGCAAGTGGCAGTGCCACTGGCAACTTATTAGCAGATGTACTACTTTGTTTCGTCAAGTAAATTGAAGATACAACAAGTAAGGTGAAGATACAACAATTACAAAAAAAAAATGTAATTAACAATAGTTATCTGCATGCTTTATCTAAGCTAAATGGTCAGGCTAAACTAGGCAAGTACAAACAAAAGAACTACCTTGATGATTATTGCACTCATTTATAACCATTAATGGCCAATAATATATCAGAAATATGAGTGGCCGGAAAATACACTTACGCGTTCTTCCTCCATGCGTGAGAGACACTCCTCTGGTACGCCGCGGTTTCGAAGAAATCGAAGTAAATCATTGTCCATATTTGCAGCCATCCTATCTCCACTTCCTTCCAAAACATGCTAGGGGGTCCAAGTCTCGCGGTCGCTAAAGACTAAAGGCGTATTAGCGGAACCATCTGGATTGAGTTATCACGTTTATACAATATAATTATCAGGTTTATACAATATACTATCACGTTTTTACAATATAATGATCACGTTTATACAATATACTATTACGTTTATACAATACACTATCACGTTTATACAATATACTATCAGGTTTATACAATATAACTATCACGTTTATACAATATAACTATCACGTTTATACAATATACTATTACGTTTATACAATATACTATCACGTTTATACAATATACTATCACGTTTATACAATATAACTATCACGTTTATACAATATACTATCACGTTTATACAATATAACTATCACGTTTATACAATATACTATTACGTTTATACAATATAACTATCATGTTTATACAATATAACTATCACGTTTATACAATATACTATCACGTTTATACAATATACTATCATGTTTATACAATATACTATCAGGTTTATACAATATAACTATCACGTTTATACAATATACTATTACGTTTATACAATATACTATCACGTTTATACAATATAACTATCACGTTTATACAATATACTATCACGTTTATACAATATACTATCATGTTTATACAATATACTATCAGGTTTATACAATATAATGAGCAAAAATTTTTTTTTTCAAGTGACAGCAATACGCTTCCGTACTATGCCCTTATTATGTAGTGGATCTTTTTTTTTTTTTTATTTCATTCAATCTAGTTGAAGACAGACATTTTACATTAATTTACATTTAAAACAAGACAAATGTTAAAGGAATAGTACACCCAAAACATGATTAGCCTTCATTTTCTACTCACCCCCATGCTGAACAACACTCTGGAGTACTTTTTTGATATCTCAAATGCATATGGAGATCTGGGAGGCTTCTTGCTGTCTGCTGACATTCAAATAATGGAGGTCTATGGTGCCCGAGGCAGAAAGGTCCATAAAAGTCCACAAAAAACGTGTCAATATTCCTCCATACTGCTCGTCCAATGTATTCCAGAGCGTCCAGAGAGTCTGCTCTGCCGATAATGCAAGCGTAGAAGAAGAAATGTGCTGTTTACCTGTGCAAAGAAAGAAACAACGAAAGAAAAATGTCTGAAGACTTCAGTGTTGAGGAAGAGCATGAGTTCTATGCCGAGCTGAATGCGCACTTTCATCTGGTTTGGTCTGCCGCGGTTTCCGTAGACTCGTGAACGCGCTTTTAGGAAATCCTATACACTACTGTTTATGCTCTAAAAACATTCTAAATGACTTCGTTTCGAGTAAATTATGGACGCTACCTACTCAGGACACTTGGAATACATTGGACGAGCAGTATGGAGGAATATTGACACGTTTTTTGTGGACTTTTATGGACCTTTCTGCCTCGGGCACCATAGACCTCCATTATTTGAATGTCAGCAGACAGCAAGAAGCCTCCCAGATCTCCAGATGCATTTGAGATATCAAAAAAGTACTCCAGAGTGTTGTTCAGCATGGGGGTGAGTAGAAAATGAAGGCTAATCATGTTTTGGGTGTACTATTACTTTAAGGCTGATTACTGCTCAGGCTGATTTATTTTGTTTGTCCTCCTTTCTGATGGAATCAACCAGATTCCATAAGAAATAGGTTACACATCACTATGGCTGGAATAATTAATCGGATTAATGATGATTAATCGATTATTGAAATAAGCATCAACTAATTCAATGATCGATTAATCGTAAAAGGGAGCATATAGACTATAAAATAAGCCTTTAACTAAAGGAGCACCCCACATAGAGCAGCAATTATACCACATTTGTAAAAGAAAAAAAATACATATTTTAACATTTTACAATGAACAATACATTTTACAATAAATTTACAATACAAAAAATAGCTACAGTACTTGAAATGTGGAAATTCCTTGTGAGTAATCATTAGCCTTTAAACAAGTTAAAGTGGGGGTTGTGTATGTTTCTGGGTCTGTATGTTTACAGAAAATTCCTAATTAATTTACATTTGTGCAAATATTTCATATTTTGCAATTCATAGAAACATCAACCTATAATCCCTGCCTGTTGTAACAGAAATAGAAGTAAATCATAAATAATTGGGCATCCATACCCATACAGCAGGCCCTACTCCTGTCCTGCACCAGGTTAGTGTCACCCCCATGTGTCAGGATGTAGAAGTACATTGCAGTTGAAAAAAGTGATTCAGTCAGTATATTCAGTGCTTTTCTTGTCATAATGACTGCTTAAAATGCTTTACATAAGTGTCCCAGAACAACCGGCACACATTTATGCTTTTATACTGTAGGCACCTCAGGTTTTAAATGCACTGAGGCTGAACTTCAACCTACAACTGCATTGACACTATAATAGATAGTTGTCCACAAATAAAACTGGACAGATCCAGTAATAGAAACTGGTTCTCTCTGATACTGTGTCCCCTGAGGGGTACGTTCTTCATCTCCACCAATTCTACACATCAAAGTCCATCATTAGTTGTTGGGGTACAGATAAAAAGCCTGGTTAGTTGCTTCTAAAGACTGAACAAAAACAAAAAGCAACATGTAAATGTAGCTCTGAAAAGACCTCATCACCGATCATTTATCATGTTGGATTGTTCTTCTCAATATTCATCCATTATTAGACCGGTGACATCATATCCATCATGGGTGCAGATTGCAGAACTGTTTTGTCCAGACTGGAGGTTTGGCTCAGCACGCCCGTACCGGGCCGAATCTGGGAAAACAGCCGGCGCTTCAGATGAAAGAAGTCCCCCCTTTTATGTCCATGTCAGTCAGTCAGTGAAAACCTAAAGGAACACTGTGTTCCACTCCTGCTGGGTTTGTGTGGAGACGTGGAGGAGGGGGTTCTTGAGCTGGATGAGGCAGCAGGGGAGCACTGTAAGGACTACTAAACCTCAGAGCATGGGCCACTTATTTAATCAGTGCTAAATCCCAAATGATCCCCTTTTATTTTTACACACAATGACTTACACAGAATAAATCATGCTTTCTAAATCACATCTGTGACAATCTGTCTTTAAATCCAAAAGACTGATGAAAGAACTATCTAGATGTTCTGTATAGATTTGTTCTAATCTGTAAACCTTATTCCGACCTCTCAGATGACTCGTCCCTTTGCTTCCAAACATCTGGTGCCTCTGACAGTCAAATGGGAATAAAAGGACCAAGTAAGAGGTCAGAAAGTCCAACATTAATCTAAACGGGTCCCTGAAATCCTGAGGTTTATGTCATTCTTTTTGGATAGAAAAGCACAGCAATGGAAAGTTAAATGTTTTGCTTTCAAACTCATTTCAAACACATCCAAACCCCTGAAACCTTTTCACACTGCAACCATAAACTAGTATTTATTTCTGCTGATATTTACTTTGATTGACCAATGCAGAGTAATGAATAATTGTGGAGTGAAAGCAAAATAAGTGGTTTTCAAACTGATTCCTAATCTGAAAATGTTGAACTAGGGTCTACTTGTGTATAACTTCATCATAGTATAAATTAATCTTTTATGGGTGGTCCTCAGATGGTTTTAAAGAACATTAGTTGACAAAAATCATGATAATGTAGAATAAAGGAACTTTCTTTTATGTTTCTTTTGTTGGTGATTTAATATTTCAAAAGCAAACAGCCTGTTCCAAGAAATGGAAAAACTTGAAAACAGTATTTGTTAAACAAAAAAAAAAAAAAAAAATTGAAATAAAAATTAGAAAATGTTGAATCCAAATGGAAACATAAAGTAATGTAGAGGCTTACTTGACAACCTGATAATTTGGTATGAACACCTTACCATGGGCGGTTCTAGACAGGGGCCAACAGGGGCCCCCGTTATGGCCCCTGTACTGAAGACATAACGCTCAAAGAAATTCTAATGATCATATGCGCTGGAACAGACATGGTTACAAATGCTGTTTTACTTTTTTTAAATTAAAAAAAAAATAATTTTTAAATTTTTTATTTTTTTATTTTTTATTTATTTTTTTATTTTTTATTATTATTATTTTTTTTTATTTATGTATTATTTTTTTTTTTAAATTTTTTTATTATTGTTTTATTATAAAAAAACAAAAAAAACAAAAAACAAAAAAACAAATGCTGTTTTACTAATTATTTAAAAACAATAAAGTGATAGCTTCAGCGGTATTGAGATAGGATCCCAATCTTCATCTGCTAAATGTTTTGTTCAAAAAAATAAAATAAAAAATACTCTAATTTTTACAGCTTTTATCATTTATCAGTTTTTTCTTGAGTTCTAATTCAGATTTTATGGAAAACGTTAATTTAAACTTAAAAAAATAAAATTCCTGAATTCTGAATGAATATTGAACTAATAAGTCATAGAATTTCAATTAAACATTCACTTCATGCAGCTATCTTAATATATTTGAATCCCTTGCCCTGTTTTTATTTCATGCTTTTCTGTGCCCCCATGAAAACATGCCGCCCCCCCTCCCCTACCCCCCGGTACATTTGTTCTAGAACCGCCACTGCACCCTACTGTTTCCTAAAATAAGAGTAATAGGTGGGAGGACATGTTTTTTAGTTTTTTACATGAAGTCTGACCTTATGGGCTTTACATACTTTTTGACCAAGTTCTACAAAATGAATCATTTGTATTCTGAGAGATTTAGACAGATTTATTTTGTAATTTTGTACGCACGAGTGTAAACAAAAAGAACTTTTGTTCAAAACAGTTCTAGACAATTTGATTTTTTTAAAGTGCAGCCTTGAAAAACAGTAAAAAATAAATAAAAACATTAAAAAACTGTATATTTACTGTATATTACAATTTTTTTTGTAAGATGTCCTGCATGATAGCGAGCCATTATTCTATGGAGCTGGAATCCATTTTTAGCCATTTTCATGTAGGTATCCTCTTTTGTTTGAAAAAAATCCACCAAAAGCATGGCCACCCACCTATACTGGCAGCCATTACTCTGAAAAGCAGCTAAGAGGCCAACGGCTACTTTGAAGGATCTGCAGAGATCCACTGCTGAGGTGTGCGTATCCGCTGAGAGGACAAATATTCATTGTGCACTTCAAAGACCCAGCCTTTATAGAAAATGAGTTAGAGGAAACAATGAGGTTCAATCCCACTATG